AGGATACGCTCTTATGAGTGACGAGGGTTAAAGGATGGCGCAAGGGGCAGGCTTCATATTTGGGTCCAGTGAGCCCGTCTCTCCGCTCACATAGTGCAGTTTTACTGGTTGGTGCAAAATTGGGAAATCTAGGCGTTATACGGGGCTGGGAACGGGTATTCAAAAAGCACACATACTGCGAAAGCGCAGGAAGGAGGTTAAGGGGATCAATAATATTAGTACGCACTTAGGTAGTTTCAAACAAGGGATTACACCTACTCTCATGTTCCGACGCTCGACGTCTGAACTCCCGATCGTAGCTAGTAACGAGGACAAGGACTCACAGGGAGCTTCCACTACGGTAATTTTGCCAGCTTATACTGAGCGGCCTCGTGACAATGCTTGCGTTGTATTCGAGACAGTGGTGGTATGATCTTTTGAACTTGAAGGCGATTGACAGTAGGTGTGAGGTTGAGACGTATGTGCCAAGGGTTTGAAATGACGTGGGCTTCCTGCAGCATATCTTGGATGCGCCAGTCCAGCCCCCCCCCCCTCCCAAGCCCCTGCTCGATATAGCAGAAGAGCCAAGAGAAGAGCAAGAAGAAAACCCGGAAGGCGTTGTATCGTGGATGTGTCTTGAGCTATACAACAACTCGCCTCTAGGGCTCATGCTAATCTGCTGTATGTGTCGTCTAGCATATATGCATCAGAAAATACCACATCCGGCCTCGCTCCCCAAATGCTCGATCCACAACCAGGAATAACCGCTTTTTCAAGGGTGAATCCATCGACAACTGCCCCTCCTAAACGGTCCCATTTCCATCTGCCTGGCCCCTGGCCTCCGCGATGTGACTTGTATGTAGCTCCTCCAACGCCGGAATGATGAGACTCTCGATCTCCACCTCGGGGTCACCCTCCGGTAACGACTCGGGGTCGAGCGGTTTCTCTTTCTGGCTGTCGCTGATGGTCCTCTTGTGACCTGCCTTGGAGACGACGCCGGGTACGCGGATCCACTTGTCCGGGCGGTTCAGCGACACAAAGACGACCTCCCATTTGCGTGTGGAGAGGAGGTTGCCGATGACGAGGTTGTGGCTGTACCGCTCGAGCGCGTACTTTGCTTTGTGGACGAGGATTGCTGAGATAGTTGGTCAGTCTTGGAGCATCATCGATGGGTTCTGTAGCTGAGGAGAGCCGCCGGGGGGAGGGGTGGGGGGCGGTGACAAATGTGTTTTGGCTGAGATTCTTTTGGCAGAACTTGGAGGCCTTCTGCCTCGAGGGCCACTTACCCGGATCCGTCTCCAACTTGAAGCTCACAATCATACACTGTGGCGCCCAGCCATCCACAAGATTCTTCAGAAACTTCGGCACCGGGTCCAGATCCACGACAAGCCTTTTACTCCTCGGCACCTTGGGGCTCGAGTCAAAGTTGTCAAACGCCTCCTCCTCGGTCTTGTTCCCCCCTCCCGCCTGCGCCGCCGCAGCCGGAATATCCGACTCCGCACTCGCCTTCTGCACCCCATCGGCGGCGTCCGTACTCTGGATCTTGTGCTCAGCCATCCTCTCCTGTGGCAGGAAGAAGTCGCTCGCCGCGGCGGCCAGGTACAACAGCCCCTCGGGGCCCAGCGGCTGCATCAGCCGGGCAAAGGCGCGCAGCTCGTGGAGGTAGTCGCCAATGGTGAGGAAGGGCACCGTCAGCAGCATGTTCCTGCTCGTGGCGGACTGGTACTTGCGCAGCACGCTCAGCATCCGGGGAGTGAACTCGGGCTTGGCTACTACGGTGCCGTCGGGCCCCTCCGACAGGAAGTCCAGGAAGCAATTGGTCGCGTGGCTGTAGTGGCGGGAGTAGGGGAGGAGAGAGAACTGCCGGTGCAGGAAGATGACGGCGTAACCCGCCTCCAGGAAGTACTCGGCCGAGGTCGCGCCTCGGGTTCCCGCGGAGAAGTTGTCGATGAAGCGGACGGTCTGTTTCTCGAGGGGTACGGTGGTGCCGCCTGAGGTTATCAGGCAGACGCGCCGTTTTGCCTTGACATGAAAGTCGATGAATTCCTGCACCCTGGTGGTGTACTTCTCGAGGTCCTTGGGTGGTGGGTTGGAGCTGAAGTAATGATTCTCCACCTCCGCGGACACCTGGACCGCTTTGTTCGATGAGGATGCCATGGCTTTCCCGAGAGAGAAGGCCGATGAACAGCCGTTTGCTACTGATGAAGGTGGTTGTGAGTAGGACGATGACAGGTTAGAGAGAGGGATGTAGTCGACGATGAGGTCAGGTGACTTTCAGGTGACCTGGAATTCTTGAAGACGGGAAGACGGCATATGTGTTGATATCGTGGATATAACGAAGAAAAACAATGTTGACTTTGATATGTATCACGGAGGCCATTGCTAGGCAATCGGCCTATGGACTCGTGACAAGCATAGACGGTGGGCGAGGAGGGTGAGGACGTCGACACCCGCCCGTCAATGAACGCACTACCAACGGCAGCTGACATGATTACTTGTGGCGTTCCCATCGGGCCGAGTGATGATGGAGTCCTGGGGAAGAGACTTGGTGACATCCAACTGCCCCAGATTTCGGTCCGCACGGGCGCTACTCGGGGATCAAACAGAAGAAACCTCGGCGGTCGGGTACGGCGGTGAGGGGTCGAAAAAAGGGACTACGGCGCCGTGACTGGTCGCTGGACCGGAGGCAACGGCCGTCATATGAAGGGTCAAAGGGACCAAGAGCAGCTATAGCCGGACAGGTGAACTTGGAGAAATGTTTGAGTCGGCTTACCTTGCGCAATTCCGTGGGACCTAAGGCTTCCAATCCGGGAGAATTATCGGGCTTTGATGCTCAAGAGAATCCTCGGTCTTGTGAGTCATTCGGGGAAAAGAGATGAACATTGTTCGCTGATGGTGCCCGTCTGCGTACGGGGGCGAAGGGAATGAATTCAAAGCGTTGCCGATCGTGCACAGGCGGGAGTCAAAATACGGCGTGGGAACTGGAACGGAGTCCAAGGGTTAGGGTTATCTTCGGTGTCCGGGTCTCTGGGTGTTGTTCTCCTTTGTTCTTTCCCTCACCAATGTTGTTGTTTGTCGAACTGATGAGACGAAAAATAAATAGGCAGTATTGGTGTTATAGCCCTGTTGTATTCAATGTTGAAATGTCTGGATGTTATGTCGTCGATCTTGATACTCCCAACCAACCTCTCCGCAAGCCACTTGCGGCCCATGACATACCTGTGATGTCCGACAGAAGCCACAGAGCATCCTACATGCCTGCTCAACACGGCCAAAGCACCGGTGAGATCTACCTTGCAGCGAGCAGGCTCATATATACCCCCCAACCCACTCCGGCAACAGAGCCCACCAGATTCCGCACCTCAACGCTCTTGACGAGCACAAAGTTGAACAGACTCACCCACGGCCACAGGCCCAACCCCGCCTTCATGATGGGGAACAACTCTCTTTGAGTCTCCTGGAGCACCAGCCTCCAATTGACCTGCGAGTAGTCCAGGGGATACCCAGAGAAGAGGAAGGCGGCGGACTCGCTAGGGCCTGTGGTGCGGTGAGACATGGCCTGCTGGATGCTGTGCGTGAAAAGTGAGAACAACAGAGTGTTTACCACCGCACCGATGGTCTGGTCAAGGGCGAACTTGATGATGGTGTTGGGCACGTTGAGTCTGTCCTCGACGAGCTTGCCCTCGCGGGCCTCACGGTCAAGTTCCTTCTCATTGGAGCTGGATGCGGATTTGACTGCTTCATTGGAGGGGACCGGGGTGGTGGCGGGGAAGGCCGACTCGAGGAATTCCTGCCCTAGAGAGTTGTGAGATACGGAGACGGCGATGAATGACTTTTCATAGAATCTGGTGAGTGACAGAGTGAGTAGCGGCTGTTCAGCTTACATAAGAAGTTGGGCGGCGTCGAGACGATGGTGAACAGGAGGAACTGGAAGACGGGCACCCAGTCGATGATGAAGGGTTTCTAAGATGAACGGTAAGCGCATGTCTGCAATTGATGGGGTCCCAATCGCCATCGTCTCATCGAAGGCCCAGGTTAGAATCGGATTTGCATACATCGCTTCTGTAAGCGGTGATGGCTTGAGCGATGATGTTTGATGTCGCGCCCAGAACTGACGACTGTATGGTCGCCGTAGTGATGGGTGGGAGAGCCATTCCGACACGTCTCGTGGTCGACCAGGTGAATCCTCTTGCTGCTCGAGCCAGATGAGCGGCGGGAGTTCGCCGGGGCTTGTAAGGTGCTTGTACGTCTTCGGGGTGAGGTGGCAGCCGTCGATGAGGTACGTCGTCGGGGGTTGATGTTGAGCCCAATATTGAGCCCGAGATGGGATGACGTCAAGTCGGAGGGATGAGGTCTCTCAATCTGCTGCGACGACGGACGGTTTGGAGGTAAGTCGTCTGAGGGTCGTGAGCCTGGAGATCGGGAGTGGCAGCAATGAAATCTTAGGTTTGGGGTCATACTTAGGTGAGGTGTATATAGTGTGAGATTTTTTGAAGTAGACTCCATGTAGAGTGATGTGGCACGGGAGCATCTCCACCTCATTTGAACCTGTGAAAGACGACCAGGACAGCTGTGGATAGCAGCTTCCCCTAGTCCCAGCTGCCGGTCCAGTGATTTCAGAAACAGCTCAGCCCTACCTAGGTATCCAATCTCAATGCGTGTCAATATTGAAAGTAGGTTCTGCATGCATACGGTCTGCAAACCCCAGGCATATGCGCTGCGGGCGGGTTGGGCGCCACTGTACATACTAGATATGGTACATGCAAGCTTGAGCTTTGACATGTGATGATCCCTTCCTAGTACGGACATCAAGATAACCTCATGCCAACCCTGCGCTGCTTGGGTTTTGCGAAACGATCGTGATGAGCTCACCTAGCTGAATTTACATGATATCTTGGAAACTGTGAATTGATCGCATCTAGTAACCGGTCCCCGGATATGGGATCAGACGCTCAACCTTTCAGACATAAGCCCCTCACTAGCTGAACAAGTGGTTCAGCGGTTACATGGAAGCTTTGACAGCCCAGTTAGATCAATAGTAGATCGCCGCTCTCCTAAAGCGGAGGTTCCGGGTGCAAGTCCCGGGCAGGGTCTTGGTACTTTTTGGCCTTTTACTTTCTTTTGCGATTCCATAGCCAGTCGGGGTCGATTCCAGGTGCATGGGGCTGGATGGAACTTGATGAAGCCTATCATTGCATTCTAGAGTGCCAAATTCATATACAATCATGGTTTTCTTGAAGAGTATGGACTTTCAGATGCGCACATCTACCCTATGAACCATCAAATTACTCCTTCTTGGCAGCCTTTGCCTTGACCCTCACAGATCCAGGCGGACTCCTCAGTCCACCGAACACGATCGCAACCACACCCGCAATCCCCACGGCACCGATTCCATACGCGACATCACGTCCAGCCCACCAGTACACACTCGTGAAAAGCAACGGGCCTATTCCGCGGCCAACCTGTCCCCAACTCCTCAACACGCCCAACTTGCCTCCCCGTTCACCCTCGTTGGCCTCAAAGGAAGCCAGCGCGTTCAGACCCGTGACGACCGTGGCAGACGTCGTCGCAAGACATGTAGCAGCCACATAGAGGGTGGAAACACTCGTAAGACGGCCGAGGAGGACGAATGCAATGAGGCATGCTACCACTCCGATCTTGACACTCAGGAGTGGCGGCAGACGGCGCGTGACACCGCCTTGCAGGATAGACGCGACTAGTCCCACGTAGCCCAGAAGACGGCCATTCTTGGCGGATGAGTACCCGAAGAGGTCGTAAGTCATAAAGGGAAGAGAGAACTCCATCCCCGAGAAAAAGAGTAGGAAAGAAAAGTGAACGGCGTTGAGGAGCGTATGGGAGTTGGTGCGCTGGATGGGCTTTTGCTCATCGGCCTTGCCATTCTCCTTCTCCTTCTTGCCACTTCCATTGGCTGCGTGGCCGTTATTCTCCGACAGGCTAGGCAGGGTCTCCGGTAGCGCCAGGTACAGGTAGACCGTCTCCGTGACGATCAGGAACAAGCTGAATCCCGCGGCCGTCGCAAAGGGGTTCGCCGCCACGGTCGCAATGCTGCTGAGATATGCGCCGAGGGCGGGGCCGAACGTGAAGGCGATGGAGAAGCACGCCCCGATCAGTGCCATGGTGCTGCCCCTGCTGGAACTGTCCGAGATGTCCGTCGCGATTGCTGTTGCCAGCTGCACGTTGCCCTCGGAGAGGCCACCGACCACACGACTAAGCAAGAACGTCCGGAAGTCCACCGCGACCACCCACAGCAGCACCGACAGGATGTTGCCTGTCATGCTGGCCAGCAGGGCTGTGCGCCGCCCGAACCTGTCGGACAGTTTCCCGATTATAGGGCTGGCGATGGCCTGGAGTAGCGAGAAGAGCGAGCCGAGTGCGCCGCCGAGGAGGACAATATCATAGCGCGATTCAATGGGGCGCGCGAAGGCGGCCTTGTAGGCGTTGAGCTGGCTCAGGATCCAGGAGAGGAGAGTGTTCCTGGGAGCAGCAGAGGCGTCGGTCGGGGCCTCGGCATTGCGATAGAATTCGAGAAGTTTGGGGAAGAGCGGGAGGATGAAGGTGAAGGATATCTATTGTGGCGTCGGTTAGCTATCGTCAGGAAATATTCAGGGACGCTGCAGTGGGTAATATCTTCGTACCAAATCCAGGAGGAGAGATATGAAGACAACCTTCAACACCCTCTTCCGGGTCGCAGCATCGACGGGCGGCGACATTGTAGTGTTCTCACAGCTTGAGCGTCGAAGGCTAGGACAGGGTCACAAGAATGTACAATGAATTTAGTGGAAAAGAAAGACGGGACATGAACATCGGGTGTTAAGAAACAAATAACTGAATAGAAGAACAAGCCACTTTTACAAGAAGGGCTTCGCGGTGACGACACAACACAACAGCACCTGATATCTGTCTGGAGATTTCTATGGAGACCTCGGGGACGGTTTCGTTTCCGTTTCATGCCCCTCTGGTCGCTGTATTGGTGGGGTTTTCCCACTGCAAGTACGGCACCAAACCCCACTAAGCGGGCAGCCCTGGGGAGTGGGCATGCATTGCCGAGGTCTTGCCAGGGCGATGCCCTGCAGTTGAGACACTCGGATGCATCCGAGCGTGCAGCTACACAATAACTTCGACCCCTGATCCTGATCTTACATGATCCTGGCCTTGTGAAACTCGTATATGATGTCCACGCCACGCCGTGCCGTACGAATGACAGAGGCAGTGTAGTCGGAGTTCGTTCGCCCAAACAGAAAGACAGTGATCAAAGAACTGCGACTTATACCCTTCGTGGAGTGCACAAGGTTTGTCGTGGTTACAATGTCAATCAATGAAGCAGTTTTCGAATGAGTTCTAGCCAGCATCATCAGCACATGGCTGCGGAAAATTCTATGCCGTGGAAAATTAACAGGGGTGGGTGCATGTTTCTATTCCACCTGTAACTAGCTGTGCAATAACCTTAGTCGCCACTTGAAGTTTAAATCCCGGATGCAATACGACGACTGGACGACGTGAACCTTCTTACGATGTGGCCACATTTCCGTTAAGTTACTGAACACGCAGCGTAGTCTCATATTGGTCTTGTATCAAGTCCTATAACGGCAGTGTTTACTCGCTTCGAGCTAAGATACTGTACCACTCCGCAAAGATTATCTCACCATATGACTATGGTTTTTGAACCGTTATGATCCGCCTAACCTTACAGGCGTGAGAAACTCATGGTCTTCACGTGATGTGGCTCATTAATTTATTGCAAGTTTGATCCTTCGACGGACTGTTCCCGATTTAGTACGTTTTACACTCTCTGAAGTGGTAGCATAAACTCGGGCAGGTTCGCCATCGGAAACACCCTGTGGCAGCTGCTGCTCGCGGTATACATTATTCCTAGTCCTCGTTCGGGCAGTCGCCTCAGACTCAAAATCAAAGGCATTTATAACGAGGCTGAATAAAGTCAACTTGCGATCATCCCCACCGGCTACCTATCTAAGCCAAGTGTTCTTCATCACATTACGTCCAGTAGAGGCTAGCATTGGGAAGCTTGCAGAAGCACCCTTAGAATACTCAACTTCAGGATATTCTCTCAGGGGGGAATATAAACTCTTTGAATGAAAGTTTCCTGTCGGTGCTTCAAAATACTCTTAAAATCCCAAGGTTATTTTTTTGGGATTCCCTCCTGTGTCCTGTTCAATGGCTTCAGATGTCCTCTAGAGTCACCTCTCATTTATGCACCTTCGAGTGGTGGACCCCTAACCCTTATCCCCCCCTCCCTTGACCCTCTGACCCTCTGCCCCAGTGCCCCAATAACAGGCCCACCCAGAGCTCTCCTAAATAGGCAGGACCGACATCATCGCGCAAGCTAAAGTTCCCCAAGTTGACTTCACTTCTTCCCTTTGCAACTACCTTGGTACATACTCCTGCTACCACATATCACACCATTGCCACCATGTTTCGCTTTGTAAGTCTACACGGGCTTCATGCTTTATCCAGCCTCTTTGTACCTTCACAGAACTAATTGGCAATCTATAAACAGAACAAGACCAAGGACATTGTCACCCTCTTCCACAAGGCCAGCTCGCCAGCCTCCGTCCGAATCGCTTCCGTCTTGAAGCAGGCTTCTGCCAACGCGTCGGAAACTGCGACCGAAGACCAGGCTAGCGACCACACGTCGCAGTCAGCCCAGAACCGGGTTGAGTTCGAGCTCAACATCACCGAGGACCCGCCCACCCCCGACCAGCTCCAGACCATCCTGCAATATGTCGGCAAGCCCGGCATTAGCTCTATAGTCAAGGGCGCTTCGAACGAGAGCGAAGCCCTCAAGCTCTACAAGCAGAGCGCCGAGAACTTCCAGAGGCCTGTGGTATGTGTTGATCCTCCCGGAATTGACAACTTGCCTAGTGGTGGGTGCTAACGTATGGGACAGACGGTGGACTGGAACAATGGCAAGGCCGTTGCCGGCGGTGATGAGTCCAAGATACTGAAGCTGCTCGGCGAGCTGCCCAAGGCATAGGCAGGTTATGTGCCTTTCTAGTTTTACTACATAAGGAGGATGCATTGGCGGGAGGCTTGCGATGGGAACGTTGCACCTCCAGCATCTAACCTCGGCATTCCCTGGTGAAGCCTACGGGCCATGGCCACTTGAAGGTTAGTTGACAGAGATTGGGAGGAAGTCCCACTGATACAATAGCATTTGTGACAGCGTTTGATGAATGAGATTCACACTTCCCCAAATATGCGCTTGGATCTCGGCCTATCGTGTATGGCTCTATGTGTTTGTGTGGGCAAATTAGGCCCTTGGGATGATTCACTTAGTGAGACTCACTGCATCTGTCAGAGAGGTGCTGTTGTCTCCTTTGAGGTTGCAAGTTCAGTCTCGGCATCAAACAAAGCGCCAGCCTCTCGAGTGCAGCAGGAGGAAGGCCTTTTTGTCAAGGTTGGTCCGGCAGGTTGCCATCTGGGAGCGTATTGATCACTAGCATGTTCCCTCTGACATTCGGGCTTTCTCGGGGCGGTGTGCCTGGAAAGTTACTGTTAAAACGGTCGCCCTCTTACCACATTTCGTTGTATGGCTTGGTTTTCTGCTTCGAGAGTTTCGAGAAGCAACACGTGCCAGCTTGGCTTGCCAACTTGCTAGCAGTCCTGGTGGGAAATGCTATACTGTTCCCTGGCAATAGTGAGTGCTGTCCATCCTTTACCTCGACGGCAATACCTTTCAGTTTGGTGGGATGCTATTTGGCTGCCTTACTGGGACTTGACCTTGACCTCGCTTTACTTCCTCCTGTAATTCTCCCACCTATGAGTTTCGGTCCCAAAACACCCCTCCGAGCTTCATCCCAGCCCCAACTTGTTTTCTTCTGAAGTCAACAGCACCTTTCCGAATCAACAACAGATTCCCAATCCCTTTCTCTCCCATCGCAAGCCGTGCGCGTTTGCTACACACTCCATCTCATAACGTCAAAGCAGTTGCGCTGACTTAACGTTACCATTTCTTCACTCCCTAGCACTTCCTCCCGCCGTGATGGCTTCCATCGTCTCCTCTAACCCCCTGGGCTCGGTTGGGTACAAACCGTCTGCGACGGCTATGGCTGGT